TATGGAGGGAGTCAGGAGAGCTTTGGAAGAGAGGCAGCAGCTTGTATAAAAAGGTGCACCATGTTGAAATAACAGGAAATAATGGGAGACTAGAGCATGCAGGGAGGATTCGGGAGCCCCTGGGAGCCAGGTCTTGTAGGGCAAGAGCAAGTGCAAGACCTTACAGGGCTCATTCAGGATGTGGGGTCCCCCTAAGAGTGCGTGAAGAGTTGGACGCAAGGGCAGGATGGCCCCACAGCTCACTGACCTCATGAGCTCAGAGGCCAGCATGTTGGAGCCCCCTGAAATTGAGAGGGGGGAGGAGTGGCTGAAATGTTTCAGCACGTGGAGAAGGGGGAGCAGGAGACCCGGCCACATTGAGCGTGGGCAGCACAAAGAGGGAACACAGTGACAGTGGAGAGGAGACGAACTCCCAAGAGCATAACCAAGCTCCAGACAGACCAAGGCCGTGGGAAGTTCTGGGGAAGAGACCCACAGACCCGGGCATGGGATGCCACCTGCTTCCAGCGCTGGCACGTGAGGCCCTTCTGGGGGCTGGCTTCCTCTGTCCCTCTTGCTCCTCTCAGCCACCCTGATGCTCTAAAGTCCACCTCCAGAACCCTCAATCTCCCACCTCCACCCCACACACAAACCTTGCAGTCCCTCCTGGCGCCTCCCTGCCCAGGACCCAGTGCGGGGACCCACAGTGGGTGCCCGTGGGGACCGCTATGAGGGGGAGGGGGCTAAAACATCTCCCCAATCAGACCTTCCCCGCCTGACTTAACTGGGGCACAGGGTGCGGCGTCTTCATGCATGTGCACATCATCGTCAGGCACGCTACCAGGGCATGTGTCTCTAGCCTACTGCAGGCAGCACAGGCTGGGCCGGGTGCTGGGCGAGGCGCCCTGGGCAGCACTCATGTCTGCCCAGGCCAAGCCTGCAGTCTGAGAGCTGAGGACTTTCGGGCGGGCACTCCTGCAGCTTATCCTCCCACGCTCCCCAAAAGCCCCAGGGACTTGGGCGACCATTAATAATTGTCCAAGGATAAATCAAAGGGTAATAAGCAGGGTGATCACCTACAATCTGTGAATGCACGCTTAAAGAAATTCATTTGAAAACATCCTCCACACATTGAAACAGACCCCAGACCAGTGAAGGGCCTCATCCACCCAGCAAGAACTCCACACCCGTCTCTGTACCTGCACCTCTCCAGCCACCTGGCTTCTGGGAGGACAGGTTTCTGGCGATAGGGAAGTTCAGTTCATTTTCAGAGAGGGATTGGGCTCACTTGCCATGCAGGAAGGGAAGGCGCCCTTGGAGACACTCCCCTGCTGCTCCCAGGAGGTACAGCTGAGAGGGGCTGCAGGGGAATCAGAGAGGGGAATACTTGCTGCCCCCGATTCTCCCACAGCTGCACCTCGTGGAAAAATGCAGAACCAGGAGAAACGGTGCTTTGGAAACATGCAAGACATCCCATAGGACTACTTCACACAGAGACCCAAAGGCAAAAACGCCAAGTTGGAATAATGGGTGACGACACTGGGGAGGCACATCACCTCACAATCCACAGCGGGGGGCTGGGGGCAGCTCAGCCATTGTGGCATCATTGTGACTTGGATGTTCCAGCCAAGCTGGGGAGAAGAATACTGCTCCTTGGTGGACACTGTGTTTTCTTTCCTTAAGAAATTTGTTGAGGGGGCCTCCCCAGTGGCACAGTGGGTTGAGCGCAGCGCTGTGGAGCTGCCCGCAGCCTCTGCAGCATGGGTTTGATTCCTGGCCGGCCAGGGAGATACTCACATGTTTTCTCTCCCACTGCTCCCCTCACCAGTGTTTTCCATCATCTGCCTGTTCTGCTCCCTGCTCTGTCTCTGGTGAATTCTCTCATTCTCTCGTGCCTCTGACCTATACCCCAGCTCTTGTATAAATAAATAAATCTTAAAAAAAAATAAAAGAAATTTGTTGAGGGCTAACCACCTTTCTTATGGTGAATGTAAGATGCCAGTGCCACAGTCCACATTTTCCTGTCCTCATTTGTAAGAGATTCAGAAATGATGAGTGGAATTATAAATGTCTTTCAAGCTGTTGGTAAATAGACGCCAGCGCCACTTGTTCAGATCTCATTCTAACATCCAAGCGGGCAACTTGGTGTCTGTTCATGGTACTTGCAGTCCTCTTATCGGGAGACATGATGATGTTTTAGAACAATCAAAAATGAGCATAAAAACTAAGAAAATTGGATCCTTGCTTGTTTTACCCACACATTTAATAACAACTGATTTTTTTTTAAAATCCTGTTTCTCTACTACCCTTCCCACACCCACCCAAAACCGCAAACAACCTGTTTAACCCTGAGTCTAGCCACATACTTCTTGCCTTCATGGACAAGTGGAAAGAAGGCTGGGTTCCACTGGTTTTATATCTAACACGTTGCTTCTGGCTGGTGACACTTTCAGACCAATTTACAAGGCTACAGCACATTAAATTGCCTGATCCATGGACTATCATCTTAGACCAAACGTGTGGCCCAAAGAAAGCTTCCCTTCCACCCATTTGAAACTCAAAAATTGCACAAGAAGTGACAGATGGATGATTTGGGGAAAAAAGAAATGTCAATTAATGTTTGCTGAAAAGGGTGTCACGGAGGATTGGCAGCGTTTCTGCTCATTGACAGCTCCCCAAGCAGTCAAAGATTAATTGAGCACCCAGGCCACTGAACCCCACAGGGGAGGAGAGGAGCAAGGCCCTGACTCCAGGGCATCGCGGGGGCTGGCAGATGTGAGCTGGAGCACCGTGGACAGGCTGGGACATCACCAATACTCACTGGCCAAACATGAGAGTTTTGTCATTTTCTCCCTACAGTAGATATAGATTCATTTCAAGCCCCATCCTCTTGTGTCTAAAAGACACATCTTTCATTGACTTAAACAGATAAAATTAGGAAAAAAAGTTTGTTGATTGACATAAGCTCATGAGCTACATGACAACAACCTCAGGAACAATCCCAACCATGGCTAATACTCTGATGTCTCAGCTCAGCTGTAAGCGTGTTGGGCCAGGCACTGAGCACTATACACCAGCGAAGTAAAAGAAAGCAAAACACAAAATAAACCCATCAAATGAAAACCTAAGGCCACTTCCTATAAATTGGCTTCTGGAGGAAGTAAATGTGTTTGGTCCACCAGAAATATCCAAATAAAATAAGTGTTTGTCTTTTCATTTCCTACTTGTTCATCCTCAGGCTTTGGCAGGAGGGGGTGTGCTCACCACCCCCCCACCCAGGCAGCCTTTCTGCTTTGATCACAAAGGGACAAGGTGGACGCCTCTGAGCAGCAAGGAACAGGAGTGGGTGTAGGCGCAGGGCAGACAGCACAATCCCCTGGGGAGAGTAAGGGGTGCACACACCTGGAATTTGATTCCACTGAGTGGGGACCAGAATGGATCTCCAGTCTTATCTGACACACACGAACACACGTGGAAACTGTCAAAGGTGACATTTACAGAAGTGACCTGAAGGAAGGACACGTCCGGCAGACCCGGCCTAACCTGACCCCTCTTGTGAGACTATGGTGCCTACCAGCCTTTCTCTCAAAGACAGCAGCCAGTCCTCCTGCTAAAGCAAGCTCTGAAGGTGTCAGCAGGATTTGGTTGACCGGACCATTAATGGGACTTCGGTTAATTATTGACTGATTGGGGATCTACCTTATCTCTCCATCAGGAGCTGCCTCAAGAATTAACGGAAACACTTCAGAGCGGGGTGGACCCACCCTCAGGGCTTTCCTTCTGCTCCTTTCAGTACCAAGGCTTGTCCTCGCCCGGGATTTGCGTCAGGCAGACTGGCCTGTCCTCGAAGAGCTGGGGGGCCTCAAACGTACTGGCTGTGTCCAGGCTCTGGGTGCCCACAGGCCCTAGCAAGACACTGCCTTTGACCAAAAATGGTTCATGGGTACAGTTTTCCAATGACATTTTGGGGGTGAAAAACAATGACTTTCTGTCTCTGAAAGTGCTGGTGATGTCCTCAAATCAGTGCCCAGCCCCCTGGGCAGGAGGCCCTCCACTAAGACCTCTAGGCAAAGGCAGGGACAGGCGCAGGCACTCGGGCCCAGCTGCCCCAGATAAGAGGTGGCCCGTGTTAATGCACAGACTTCCTCCACCACGGCAGGGCCTTCCTTTTCTAAATAGCCTCCCTTTCATGTTGGCGAATGTTGTTTTTCCATTGACTCAACATCTAGGCTCTGGTGCTAAGCCAGTGGGGAAAGTTGGAGGGGGAGGGAGGAGCAAAGGGGGGCCAAGCAAAGTCCAGCAGGAGAGAGGGGCACTAGCCTCATCTCCCCACACCCCAGACACCTGCTCTGGGAAGATGGGGACCGGGCCTAAGCTTCCCCTTGAGGGAGGCCAGCCTCTGGCTCCTGGGGCCCCTCCTTGCATCCAGAGCTCATTCACAGGCGAGCACCTTAGGACGCAGACCTTGTCCCCAGGAAGGTCTCTCAGGAGTGCATTTAAGAGGGAAAAGCAATTCTAAGGAGAGAAGTAAGCCCAAGTAGGAGGACGCTGAGCAGAAGAGGGATGACTGGGAGGAAAGAAGGGGCCAGTGAGAAGAAAAGTAGAGGTGTGGACAGAAAAGGAGAATAAAACAAAAACGAAAGAGAAGTGGGAAAAGAAAGAATGCGGAGAGTGACATCTGTTTCTGAGGCCACCAGACTCTGGGGGTGGGGGTGCCCTCGGCCTTCCCTGGGCAGCCAGCAGTCAAGGGGCATCTTCAAAACCCAATCTTGATTAGAGTCAGCTAAATGTTTTGACTTGAAGGAGACAAGAAGGATTAAAAAGCAAAATAGAGCGGCCAGCTAAGAAAGAAACAGGAAAAGAAAGAAAAATAGAAAAAAAAAAAAATAACCTCATGGGTGACACAAAGAGACTGATGGGAAACGACTGCGGCACTTTCCCGTGACTAGTTGTCACATTAGTTTAGTGAAACCGAAGCAGCACTTATCCCCTTCCTGGGCCTAACTGCTCCCAGAGCCACAAAACCTCCGACCACGTTTAATAGGATTACTTCCGTCCACTTTCTCCCCCACCCCCTTTATTTTTTACGATTCTATTTTCAGCCAAGCAGGGGTCCCTGAATCCATCGCTTCCTGCTGGGCTAGGTGACACCCAGCACACAGGGCTTTTCCCCTCTGCAGACTTTTCTGATTCAATCTGAAAAATGTCATCTGATGATTTGGTGGCTTTTCCCTCGTGGAAATCTCCACCGCCTAGTGAGTGAGGAAGCGGCGTTGCCACGGGGCAGGGCTGGGCAATAGCTGGTGGTGCCCCTTGTGCTGAGGCCACAGGGAGTTTCACCGTCTGGCCCGGGCACAGGCAAACCGGGTTCAGCTGACTGCTTCCCGGGTGGGGATCTTGAGCTGCAGCCTCCTGGCCTCCACTTACGCATCCACACAGCCGAGTCGGGGCTGTGGATAAAACACACACACAATATACTTCCTCCGGGGCTCACTCTTTCTTATCTTACTAGGTCCCTGCAAACAATATAGCTCACAACTGATGGCACATTTAAGGTCACAGAGCTTTCCTTTTCTTCCAAAGGCTATCTCTGTATGGGAGGCTTGTCTTAGAGCCCACGGTCATCTGGAAGGAAGACACTGTGGTGCTGGGGGCACATAGGAAGGACTCTGGGGTGCTGGCCACCTCTCCCAGGGCTGTAGGGCGGACTCTTCCCATGTCCCCCCACCCCCACTCCAAAGCCCCAGCAGCAAATTGAGAGAAGGAGGTGTGAGCACTTTCACCCCCAGACTGCTCCAGACCCCAGTCCTGACTGAGGCTTCAGACACCAAGCTGACTCCAAATCAGAGTGCCAGGGCCCTGATAGGGGAAGAGCCCAGAGGCCCAGTCCGCCCTGCTCCCCCACCAGTGGCCAAGGCTGACCTGCAAGCAGTGGTTCCCCAGGGAAGGGAATCCTTCCACTTCTTTGTGTCACTTGCCCACTCCTGCCCTGGCCCCCAGGCTCTATCCACCGAAGACACCTGGAGGAGATAAAGCGTGAAGTGAGCTCTCTGGACCCTGGAAAGTAAGGCTGGACACAGTGGGCCCAGGGAAGCCTGGAGCCACACTGAGCCTAGGGGGCCACAGGGAGGAGCTGGAGGAAGGGGGAGCTGGCTTCCAGGTCCCCTGAGCTGGTGCTGCAGGGAGGGCACAGCTGGGGGAGATCTGAGGGGGGAATGGCCCTGCCAGTGGGGAGTCCCTGGGGAAAGAGAAGCTGAGGGGGTGGGAGGCCCAGGGGGTGGGGGGCCAACCCCACGAAAGCATATCCTGCAGAGGGTACAGTGGAGAAGCCCAGCCAGTGGAGACCCAGTGGGGGGGGGGGGGGCTTTGGGGCCTGGGAAGAGGTGCCTGTTCAGGGGAGGGGCAAAAGCATACCCCTGGAACAGGTATGGTGAGGCCATCTGGTCAGTGCTGTACCCAGCACAGGACCCCTGGGGTGTCCTCCCCTGTGAAGTGGGGCCCAAGTCTTCCTGCTAGTCTAGGATCAACCAGCATCTCCAGAAGATTCTGGGGGAGATGTCCAGACACACCTGCCCCACAGAGCCCTTCACAGGGCCAGACCTGGGCCACCCCCCTCCTCAGCCTCTCGCCTGCCCTTCCTCCTGCCCACCCCCAGTTACGTGCCTTCTCACCTACACTTCCCTGTCTGCCCCACCAGTTATGCCACTCCCACTGCCCACTGAGTTCTGCAAGACACCCCATCCCCTCGCCTGCCCCTCTCCTGTAGTCTCTCCTCCCCTCTATCTGGCACTCATGCTCCCCACCCACCCCAATGTTCCCACCCCCACAGGCATACTCCCCCTACCCTGCCCTGGCCGCCTCCTCCTCCTCCCCCTCCACTCTTCCCCAACCTGACCACTCCCCCAGGGATGGACACCAGGCCCCATTTCAGTGCTTGGGAGCCAGAGGGCAGAACTTGTCACCTGTCTCCTCAGCCTCTGTCTTTGTCTTGTCCTCTGGACTCACAGATACTCCCCGGTGGGTACAGAGAATGGCCGGAGAGGAGTGACCCTCCACATTTGCCCAAAGATATGCACAGACAGTCTGAGGACAGGCACTTAGGGGTGATGTTGCCCCCCTAGATTCAGGAAGAGGGGTGCCCCCTCCCACCCCTGGCTCATCCATTGGGGACCCACGGGTGCCCCCAGCTGGCCATGGCTTCCTGGCCCTTCCCTGGGATACATGCTGACACCTCTCTTATGCTTTCTGGGGTGTGAGCAAAGCCCCTCCACTCATCTCCAGTCTAAAACTGTCAGCCCCTGCAGGGCCAGCCCACTCCATTTCTCTGGCTTCCTTCCCTCAAACCACAGCAGTCTGCCTGTTCTGTTCCCTACCCTATCTCTGTTGAGTCCTCTCACGCCCCACACCTTTGGCCTGTACCCCAGTTCTTGTATGCATAAATAAATAAATCTTTTTTTACAAAAACTGTCCAAAGAAGCAGCTATGCACGAGCCAAAATACTTATGCATAATGCATTGGTGGCATCACCAAAATATGGGGACAGGTCCATAGGAGTCCAGGCCCCACACAAGGGTAGGCCACTCATTTGTAGGGGAAACAGCCCTTCCCTAGGCAGCATCCAGTGTTTTATGTGAGTCTCTCCTGGCTCTGTGGGTTGGAGACTCCCCTGAGTACCACAAAGAAAGCACTGAGACTCAGGTGGATCAAGTAACACACTGTCAGTCCCAGCCTAAGCCACTGGATTCTGTGGTCCTGGATGCGGTTGGCCCAGAAATCTTTTTTTTTATAACGATCCCTCTGTGTTTCTTAATGGCTGGCCAGGTCTCACCTCAGCCGCCGGCCACCCCTCCACCAGAATCCCCAAGCAGCCTTCTCTATGTTGGGTTGGATAAAACATTTCAAACATATTTAAACAGCAATTTTGGAAAACTATGCAGCATATGGATTTTCCTTTTGATCTCAAAATGATGACAAACAGACACTTAAATACTTCATAAAAGAAATATTACCAGAAAAAATTATAGAAATCTGGCTTTTGACTTTGTCTTGCTCTAATTCAAACAAAATGCAGCCTCCCAGTCCTTTTCCCCTCCTGCCCCCACAGGCCCCAATGGGGGCTTCATCCCCTTTCCCTGTGTGGGCTACCTACAAGTCTATGTCTAACCCACTGGTCATCCTGAGGGGAGGCCTGGAAGGACAGTGGAGGTACCTCAGGTCCTCAGAGAAGCCCCTGAAAACAGACCCCTCCTCTGAATTAACACCCTGGACTTCAAAGACAATGGGAAGGGGAGCGGGGAGTAAGGGCCCCAGCCTTAGAGGAAATGACCAAAAAGGGGTCAGGAGTGGGGAGATTTCCACCTTTCAAAAGTCCCAGCCCCAATTTTGGCCCGGGGAGGAAGCCCCCCTGTCGCAGGCCCCAGGCGTCCGTCCACCTGCCCTGGGCCCCATGGCCTAGCGGCTGGGAAGCAACAGGCGACCGCGAGAAGGAGGCCGCCCCGGGGCCGCGCAGAGAGCAGGTGGCCGCGTGCGCTAGCCTGGCCTGCGGCGCGCGGGGCTCTCCGTCCAGCCGCCGCGCAGGGGGGAGGCGAGGGCCGCGGGGCCAGGCCGGGCAGCCTGAACCCCAGGGCCACCGGGGCAGGAAGGGCCGCGAGCGCGGCCCCGAGGGCCGAGGGTGTAGCCTCCAGCGCCGCCAGGCTCCGGCAGGCGAGGCCGTGACACCCAGCGCTGGGCCGGGAGCGGAAGGAAGGGCTGGGAGGGATGAGGAGACCCAGAGGGAGGCAGCCGCGGGCCCAGGGCCGGTTCCCGCGGATGGCCAGGCTGGAGGCTCCCTCCTTCCTTCCTGTCCAAGCCGAAACTTTTGCCACACACGCCGGCCAGCGTTTCCTCGCAGGTTTCTGCGGCCGCGAGTCGCCCTCGGGAGGAGGCTTGGCCAAGCAGCAGGTCCCCGGGCAACCAGGCACCGGTGGAGACTGGATCTCTGGGGATATGGCCGCGGGCTCGAAGGTGGCCGGCGGCTAAACAGCCTAAAAAGACTTTCTGCGTGCGGGATCAGCGCTCCCAAACCTTCCATTACTTGGTGTGCAGCGCTGCCCGAGGCTTTGCGTAACTTTGCCCACTGCGCCCCCGCGTGCAAAGGCGTCCCCTCACACTCACACCCTCACCCATCCTCTCTCCCTAGCCGCTGCAGAGCTGCTTTTGTATTTCGGTGATAGCGAACTCGAACTCGAGGTTAATCTGAGCCAAAGAGGGAGGGATGTCAGTTGCATAAATTCCTCTGCTGACACCCCCAGATCTGGAGAGCCGGAGCCCCGTTCTTCCCCAATGCGCCCCCTCTGCTTCCTCTGCCCCTGGGTCTCCAGCTTCCTAACTACTGTGCATTTGAAGAAAATAAAGCACAACCAGATGGATGTGTGTTTTTTCTAAAATCTCCACCTCCCCAAATCCTATTCCTCAAAGGACCAGGTGCAGTTGCAAAAAGGCAAGTTATTTCTGTGGACCAGGGCACCCTTCGGAAGGCATGCACAGCCTGGCGGGCGCCTAGGCGGGCTCTGCGCAGCCAGGCGGAGTGGCTGGATTATGTAAGTAACAGCCCTCCTTGTGCTCACGGCCATCTGTTAATATCTTGCTATTAGAAAGTTCGGTGCCTGAGGCAAAGCCAGGGCTGGCAGGGAGCAACGGGCCTTCTTCCTACAACAGCCTCCCCCGCCCCCTCCCCAGATAGTTTTCACCCACTTCCACAGAATCAAATAGAAGGGTGCCACTCCCCTCACTGAAAACGGAACCCCTCTCCGGGGCAGGTGTGTGCAAGGGGAAGAGCGATTTTCTCAGAGGTCACTTAATTGTAATGAATCTTTTGGCTGCATTTATATATTTAGGACAAGTCTAGACTCCTTAAGGCAATGTGTGGACACTTACTTATCTGGGATGGGGGAGTTAACATTTAAAAAATTACTTTTCTGCCAGCACCCCAACCCCAGATTTTTGTCAGGGTAATATTTCAACTCCTTTGGAGCGATTGGCTTCTGTTTACTTTGAAAGCTGTTGGTTAAACAAACATCACTCAGGAGGCTTCCGAGCAGTGGGGTTCCCAGGAGACAACTGTGCAGCTGCTACTTGCTGCTGATCTTGTGGCATTTCACTTTTCTCCCCCATTCAGAACCTGTCCAGACTGGGCTTGGCTTCACACTGGGCATGAGGCGAGGGCGAGGGAGCAGATTGGGGGCACTGGGTCCTTCTACCTCTCACAGCCTGAAGCAGGCCAGCCGGCACCCAGAAGGGGCTTCCTTTCTTTCTCCTCTTCAGGGTGGTGGAGATTGGACAATGCTCTGTTTGCTCCCAGGCAGGATCTCAGCACACACTACCCCCCAAGCCCTTGCCAAAGTTTGCTTCTCAAATAGATCTGCTTGAAATTCCCAGAATTTGGTTTAAGATCTTACCTAGTTTGTAAGATTTTAAATTACTTACATGAAATCTTTCCTCCTAGCCCACCTAAAGTCTTTGAGAAAGAGGTGGGTGGGGGTGGGCGGGGCAGAATCGCCCAGACAATGCCAAGGTACCTACAATCAGTGCATAAAATAGCTACAAGGGTTTGACCCAAGGCGCAGATAACCCTTGGGGTAGATAAGTAATTGCAGCCTGCAAGGAGGAGTTCGTTGGGTGACCCGTGAGAACTTGTGTTCACTTTTCAGTTATTGGGGTGGTATTGCCAATGGGGTGTAGGAAGGGAATGGCTCTAGGCTTAAGCACTGGTTCAGGGATGGGGCCGAGATCTAGGAGACTTCGGGTTGGCTTCTCGGCTCTCAGAAATAAATCCGGAATCGCGGGAGAGGAGGCTGGGGCCTCGCGTCTGGCTCCTGAGCCTCCCGCACCCAGAAGAGCTCCGCCGCTCTGGCAAGAGAGGTTCCCAGGACGCTGACCTGTCGGTCGCCTCGACAGGAGGGGACAGGACAGGGCTCAGCTGCTGCACGCAGCTCGCCGAGTTGGGCTGCGAACCGAGCTCGCTCGCTCGCCGGCGTCGCTTGCTCGGATTCCATGAGCCGCTCTCACGCCAGAGCGGGCTGCGAGCCGCCGTCGCTGAGCACCGCGAGCCGCGAGCCTCGGCTGCCCTGGCCAGGGCAGGGGGAGCTTCCTTGTTTGCCAAGCAGGTCACCCCGACTTCGCTTGGGCCTGTTTTCCCCAGAGAGCGATGAGGATTCACTGGGGCTCTCAGGGAACTTTTCCCGCCGCCAGTTCCCGGGGAGTGGTGTGTGCAAAACGTGCATCCCAGTGCCAGGTGCAACTGACAGAAACTTGTGGGCTGAAGTTCAAACCGTTTGCTTCCAGAGTCTGACTCTTTCTGTCTCTCTCTGGCTCCCTTTCTCCCCCCCTTCCCCATCCTCTTTTTCTGCCCTCCTCCCTTTTAAATGTCAGACTGAGCAGATGGTTTTAAGGTGTGGAGGGCAACTACCCTTTACTCCTCCAGTTTGTGGGCTGCGCTAACATATGTACAAACTGGGCTACCTCGAGAAAATAATGGGACGGAAAAGAACACAGGAAGTGGCCCTCGATCCATTCACAGAACCCAAATGACTCCGCTCCCTATACCCGCTTATCTCGAAAGGACCCAAGCACTATCCCATGCTGCATCTAAAGGGCACGTTGATAGATTATTTTTGTTCCCAGCCTAAACTGTCACATCTAGATGAGAACACTTGATACAACAGTGCCGGTGTGTTTGCCCGCCTGGGGGTTCCTTCGGCAATAGGGTGGGCGGGTGGAGAGTCTGGGGGCCAGGAAAGGGGAGAAATGAAGTCTGGGATACTCAAGCCAGGCTGTTTTCTTATCGGGACTCCTTCCCACCCTACCCGCCTATTTTTTTCCCCCTTCTACTCAATGTTTGAATCCCGTGCCAAAAGTTTCCTACAGAGTATCGTGTCCGACACATTATCATCACTATTCTAATTCAAAGACAAGACTCTTTAGCCTATTTACAGTTTGGTGAATTTGAGGTTGAAATGGTAACTGTCCAAGGACAGGTGTGCGTGTGTGTCTGTCTGTCTGTCTGAGACCGCCGCATTTGTACAAATACACCGTGCTGTCTCCACTCCACACCATTCAACCTTTGATCTGATTAAATTCGAGGAACGCACGAAAAATGATTGTCCTGAGAAATGATCGTTCCTGCTCAGTAGCCCTCGCCAGGCTCTGCTTTTAGGGGATCTCTGAGTCATAAATGCGATGGCTTTATTAAAAGCAGTCGTCCTGCCTGCCGTGGAAAGAGACTTCTGGGGGCAGGCTCACTCCTTGCAATTTGCAACCTGCAAGCCCCAAGGAGCTCTCCAAGCCACTTCTCTAAACCCATCACTCTGGTTATTATATTTTTCTTCCAAGAAGTGCCGATCCAAAGTGAAATTTCTGTGGCTTTACGTTGGAGCCCAAAAACCCAGCGTTTGAAATGTCTTACCTAATAAGCGTTAAAGTTTGCCGCCCAGGCGTCCAGACCGTGTAAACCCTGCATGAAGCCCTTGTCCCGGGTCACTCTCAGGCACATAGCTAGTTGGGGATAATCGCGAGGTCATGTTTGTGACTTTTTTTCTCAGAAAAGCTGCCGTGCCTACACTTCAGATCATGTGGTTGGCGGTAACCGAGGGCCAATATTCTCTCTTCTTGCTGATAATGTTGACGGGACAGGGACCGGGACCCGGCCAGCTCCGGTTTTCTGGTATCAGATGCAGGGGAGCCGGCGTGAGGCCGCGGGCACTCGCGCTAAATCCCACCCTACCTGCATCTCACGGCCCAGCTCCTCTCTAGAAAGAAGCCAAGGTGACACGTCTTCTCGCGACTACCCAGGACCATTTTAAAGGTGCCTGATTGGGGAATCCCCACTCCGGCCCCTCTGCCACCCCACCCCTAAGCCCCCCACTTTTTCTCCAGCATACTTTCCCGTGCCCGCCCGCACCCCCGCGCGAGGAGCGCTCGCTCGGCCACTCGGCGAACTCGAGCAGCTGCATCTGGGGAACGAAGGGGGAAAAAGACCTGCGTCCCGGACGAGCTCAGCGAGCCGAGCGCCGCCCGCGCCGCCGCGGCTCTGCAGAGTGTCCGCGGAGGGCTCGCGCCGGCCGGGCGCGGCGAGCCGGGCGCCCCGAAGCGGCGGCGGGGCGGGGGCGGGGGCGGGGGCCGGGAGGCGGGGGAGGGGCGCGCGGGGCCCGCTCCCCTCCTCTCCCCCCAGCCCCTCGCCCCCACCCCTTTGATATATTTTTTCCTCCCAAGTTCTCTTGCCTCGCTGTCCCCCCTTGAATCCGAAGGCGCCTCGCGATTGGGTGCCGGCGCCGGGTACGTCAGTCAGACTGTGACGTGCGGCCTTCCTGTTTCCTTCAGCTGTGTCTTAAAGTAAATCTTGTCGTGGAGCGGAGCCCTCAGCTGAGGGAGCGCTCCGGATCGTGCACCCCGCCGCCGGGGACGCGAGCGCGCGCGAGAGCTCTCCCGGGCCCGGCGCCCTCTCCGCTGCGTCCCCGCGCCGCCCGCGGCGCCGCCCGCTCCCACCCGCCGCCCGCCGCGCGCGGACTCACCGTCCCCTGTGCAATTACATGTCCATCCCCGCCGGCTCCCCCCGCGCGCGCGTGGCCTCTCCGCGGCGAGACGGGCTCGGGCCCCAGCCCTGCGCGGCGCGTAAGTATCTTCTCCCCCCGCGGGCCCCTCGCAGAGTCGCTGGCACTGGCGTGCGCGCGAATGGGGAGAAAAGAAAAGCGACTCCCTCGACTCATGCCCGTGTAAACATTTTTTTTTTCCAGGAGAAAATGGTGTTATTTAAATGAGCCCGAAGCCAAGAAGAGCCTCTAAACAGTTTCTGAGCCCGAGTCTCGGTGGAAGTCGGCGCGCGCTCCTCCCAGTTGCCGAGAGTAAGCGATCCGCTGGCTTTTATTTCTCTCTTTCCTGCTGGTGGCCGGGGGTGGTGTTGGCGAGGGTGGGGGGGGCTGGTCTGCCGGACGTGTCGCTGATCTTGTCACCTTGTGTGTACTGTTTCTGGGGCGCGGGGAGGCGTCCGCCGCCTCTCCTCCTTTCCCCGGCCCGCTCCTCTCCCGAGAGGGGGGCGCGAGGGGCACCCGACGCTTTGTGTTCGCCCGGACCCCGGCCTTGCGCCCGGCCTCATCCTCCGCGTCTCCCCGGGTGGAAACTCGGGGGCCAGTCCGCGCGCCCTCTCCCTTTGTCTTGTTTATTACCGCCGCCTTTCCCCGGGCGCTTCCCACTTGCTTGCCATTTGCATACCTTTCACTTCTGCTTTTGAACCCCAGCTGAGGGCCCTTGAGGAGGGAGAAGGAGACCCGGAGGAGGGAGCGCTCTGGTACTTTGCTCTCCAGACGCTGTCGAGGCCGAAATGCGGAGATCGGGTTGGGAGCGGTGGGGAGAAGGTCCCGGGAACCCCGCGCGGCACCCCTCTTCTGCGCCCCGGGGAGCCCGGCTCGGTCAAGTTGAGCGGGGTGAGGCGGCCCGGCGAGCCTCGGGGGTCTCGCGGTGGAGGGAGCGGGAGGGCGCCCGGGTCGCGACCAGGGTGGGGGTCGGGGATGTCCTTGCGCTGGGGATGTGCGAAGCGGAGACTCTCGCCAGCCTCGCGGCGGTCTGTGGGGGGTGCGGGGGTGTGTGGGGGGTGCGGGGTGTGGGGTGTGCGGCGCTGGGCTGGTCCCGGCGGGACCGACACTTTCGCCCCAGCTGGAGGACTGAGGGCGGAGGAGAGGGGAGCCGGGTCCTGTGACTGCGTTACTGAGAAGAGCTGAACAGACAAGGCGGGCAAGCGGTACGGGACTTGGGGGTGGGGGCAGCGATTGGGGGGAGACATCACCCAAAGTCCAGCTTGGCAAGTTGTTGTTTCTTCTGGTCGGCCAGCGGGTCACTCCTGCTAAAACTGAGGGTTGGTGGAGGGGGTAAGGGGCGGGGGCGGCAGGAGGAGCCGCTGGCAGGAGAGCCCCGGCTTTCCCGCCCCTTCTCTGCTCTTTGGGAAGGAGAGGGCTCCGGCCGCAGGGAGAGCTAGAAGGACCTGGGCCTCGTCTTCAGCGGCCCCAGGAGCCGGGCTGCCGTGCGAAACTGCTGTTCTTGGCAGCCAAAAGCCTGCTGGCCTGGGGGAAGGCTGGAAACTCACCTGCTTGCTTTTATTTTTCCAAGAAGGTCTGTGTTGTCGCCTTGAGTTTATAAAAACAGAGCAAGAACAGGATGGCCTTCTCTCAAAGTCAAGGCTACAAGTCTTTTCTCTTGTTCTCTCTCTCTCTTTCTCTCTCTCTCTTTCTGTCCTCCCACCTATACCCTCCCTTACAAAAAAAAAAAAATCATTTCCTTTCCTAAACTAGGCAGGCAGAGGGCTGTTAGCCGAGTGCGCATGGGCAGGGCCTGACAGGTGTGCCATGTCAAGAGAGACAGGTGCACACTTGCTCTGTGTGTGTGTGTTTGTGTGTCTGTGCAGCCCCGGACTACAATGCCTGCCCTGGGCTTGGGGAGGTTTATGAATTTATGGTTGCCCTGCTTAATAGGATTGGCTTGGCTGATGGGAACTGAGCTGTGGTTGTATTTTGAGCCTTGCTGTGTGAGTGCTTTGCTGGGGCTGGGGTACAAGTTGATATGTGTTTGTTTGTTTTTCTTAAGGACATTGGCAGGCTGCTGCCCAGCCTGTCTCAGGCTCCTGCCTGCCAGGCAGCAGTGGCTGAAAGTACCCCCACTTCAGGGAGCAGGTGGAGGGAGATTGACTTTCCCTCTGCTTCCCCCAGCTTGTGTCTGCCCCCCAGGTCTGTGCTGGTGGGAGGGGGAGCCATCTTGTGTGTGTGCGTGTGTGTGTGTGTGTGTGTGTGTGTGTGTGTGTTGGGCAGCCGTGTGTGTGTGTGTGTGGGGGGGGGGGGGTAACTGCCAAGAATACCAAAGTCAGTTTGAAAGTGTTACTGGTTACTGTTGTTAAAGCTTATCTTCTTAGCCGGCTTTCTTCCTGCCCAGAATGAATAGGTATGTGCACAAACTCTTTCAAGTCCTATGTTAAATACTCTCATAAAGTCGAATGAGGCTGTCATTGTACCAGACATGTGCCAGATGTCCTAGTTATTACTCTGATGGAGAAGGAAAATCTCAAGTACGTGAGAGCGAACTGTGCTTTTCTGTTTCATGCAAGAAGCGGCAGCCAATTCTATGAAGAGTTTCTTGTGAGAACTTCTGAGTATTTTCCAAATGTAATGGGCTGTGTATACTAATGAAGAGAGGATTCTCAGGGTAACCTGTCCCTGCCATATTTATATAGTTGTAAGTGGACAGAGATTAGGGGCTGCCTTGCTATGTCAGGGAGGGTGTGGAGAATCCATGCAAGAAGCACTGTCTCTCTAGGCTCTTAAAACTTAATCTTTCCCATTTTCCTTGGCATTGGCTATTTCTTGAGTTGCCCAGATATGGGGTAACTGGCAGGTGAGTTCTGTGCTTGGTTTTGTAGCTTGGGCGATGAACATGAAATAGTGTGTGTCTTATTCACTAGACTCACACATCAGAGTCACCCAAACACTTTCCTTGCTTGTGTTTGAGGTTCTTTCATAATTAAAATGTCATCCCTGGACATGCTTGATTTGGAACAGGGGTTTCTGTACGAGGTACTTATTGGTATTTTTTTATGTCCATTTTGCAGAATTCTGTTTAATCTCTACCTTGGTGGGGGGTGGGGGGCGTGGGGGGGGGGTGGGAAAGTCATGCTACCTACCATGGATCTCTGTTCTCACTTTTCATTTCCTATAAGCAGCATTTGTGATCTTAACCCATAATCTGGCTACCAGGTTCGGTCTTTATTTGCTCAAAAGGCAAAGTGGCCTCTTTTTTTAAGGACTCATTTCTGTTATTTCAGAGATTGTCTTGTACTAGCAACTGCTGAATTATTAGATTCCAGATTAAAAAGAAATTATAAAATGTTCCTCATTTTATAAGAGGAAGAGGGCTGTACTTGGTCCATGACCGTAGGATTCTATATTAGGTACCTGCATAAATTGGAAAGAACATTATATATATATTATGTGTGGACTTTCTGAAATCTTTTTCTTTGTGAATTCTAAGGCTTTAAAAGGCAGAGTATTTCAGTTTTCTCCAAAAAAGAAAAAAGTGTTTTAAAGTCTTTCTCACTCTTTTATTTACTAGGTTGAGGAATTACTACTTTTAAAATAAGTCAAAATTAGTGTTTTATACATGTGTCAGAAATGTTCTGGTTTTTGCAGGTGAAAATGTTTGGAATTTTGAAAGAGTAGAAGACTTTGAAATGGAATGGTTATGATTTGGGAACTGTATTATGATAGGAAATTTAAAAACCTGATGATAAGATTTTGACAATGCAAACTTAGTTCACTGAAGTTTTAACTTATGCCAAGTAGCTTCTTCAAAATAACATTAAAGACTTTCTCAACTTGACGATCAGCAGAAACACCTCCGAAGGAAAAGTTGCTAGTTAGCAGAAATGAACAATTGGACACAGCAAAGGAGGCAGCTTAATACTAGATTGGAGGGGAGGGGTGCTCATGGGGATGTTACCTGAAGCAAATCACCTGATTTCCCCCTCCCGAATTACTTTACTAATTTCCAAGTAGATTTAAATGTTCTTTGTTAGTCATATTCCATTTGAAATTCTATAACCAGGTTGACCCAAGTAGATTAGAGGCCCATTCAAAGGTTTTTTCCAGAAGTATAAAGAGTAGGCTTGAGAAATTCTTCATATAATTTTTATCAACAAAGATAAATTAGATAAACAATCAAAGAAATCCAAACAGGAACCCACACCGACCTCACACTCCCTACTCCCTCTGTGTCATAAAAGATTTGTCTGAACTATCTGGATAATTCCCCTGGTGAAATACTCTTTGTCCAGAAACTGGACCCCAGATAGATGCATGAAGGTTACACTTCCAGGCCCCAAAATAACCTCTTTACTGGAGTAGAACACTTAACCGCTTTCTACTTCACACTGTACTGCTGTGAAATTCTTCACTGAAAATTCTTTTCTGCTAACATTAAGTCATCAGCATCTGTTGGAGTGTCCGTTTTTTTAAATAGAATGTCAGATCATTCCGATTTTAGTGAAGAAGCATTTGGCAAGAGTTAAAATCTGACTTGACCACACCTGGATGTTTGTTCTCACATTATGTTTCTGAGCGGACGCTATGTGAAGCCAGCCATTGTGTGGGAATTATTGAAGCTTGTGTGTTGTCAGATGCCAAATGGTGCAACACGATGTTTCATTAAAGAAAATCGTCTCCTACATAGATATTCACATTAATTACAGAGGGGTTTACAGGCACAGAGTATGTGTCTCCAGTTGAGACCACTTTTTGGTTCAATCTCTGCATCCTGCTTACTTGAGGATTCTGATTTTCACCACGACTGAAGACGAGGTTTCAGATTGCCTCGTGGGACTCAAAATCGGTGTTAAAATGAAAATATAATAAGAATCAATATTGGTTGTAGATGAAGCATTGTAGCTTAGTGCAAGGGTTGAGAGAGGAAGGAATTTTTTAAATCCTTAATGAACATGGCAATACCTACGATGCCGCCAACCTTGGCACTCCCTAAATTCTAAATTGGGAAATCACAGAAACACATTAAGAGCAGTTTTGAGAGATTTAATTTACATTATAGTCATTTAACAGCGCATTTCTTACATGGTAAATACACTCACATATATGTCTTGTTTATGAAACCTGGTGCCAATAAAGTGCTAACTGACCACTTAGAAACATTTCATCTTGCCTGTAGCTTCCATGGGTTATGACCCCCACGGGCACCCCCACCCCCTTATTTCTAAGTTTAGGTCTCATCTAAGCTGTATGTGGGGAGATATTTAATCATGCCTATTAATATAATGCCTCGTCTTGCTGGATTATATATTTTTTGCTATTTTTTCCCCATTTGTTCTGTCTTATCTGTTCCGTCTCAGCTGGACATGTTAGAGCAAGACCTAAAACTATGTGACTGCTCAGCCCCAAGCAGAACCGAGTCATTATTACATCGAAAAATATTGACAGTCCAAAATGGCACAAGTCAGTTTCATTTGGCGAATTCGGAGGAATTTACAGGCTGTTTTGTTCTGAAAAGACAAGACCAGCAGGTTTCAGTAACACTTATTCTCCACCGTGGCTGAGAGTATGGTTTCTGCCCCCCAGGAAGAGCTCAGCCTCTCTTGGCTCTGGCACCAGGCAGGGATGCAGCTGTTGCTACCTAGGCAGGGAGAGGAAGTGAATTGACTCAGAGGTCAGGATGCCTGGGGATGACCTTATCCTCCTCTCCAACACCAGCCTGTGCTCTGGAGCCTCTGCTGCAGAGGTATTCCACCCACAAGGCCAGGGAATGGAAAGGAGGAAAATCCAGTTGGGATGGCAGGTGAACAGAGCAAGAAAAATCCTGCAGAAAGTTAGTTCAGCATTCTGGTGGGTGATCTGTGTGCTTCTCAAGTCATACGAAAGAGAAAAGGATTTGCACCCAAAAAGAAAAGAGGTAAATTTTTTAAATAATAGCAATGAACTCTCCTTTTTTTTTTTTTTTTTTTTGAGAGCTGATGTATCTAGGCAAGTCTTCCTTGCCTAGACGAACCCCTCCCCAGATACAAGACTTCCTGATTTCTTTTTAAAGAATTCATCCCTTTTTTGTGTGTCTGTCTCTCTTTTTTCTCTCACCTACCTGACAGCTACCCCTGATTTATCAGCTCTAATGTTTTCGTGAAATATTTTCCTTTGCATTTTTGTGTGCAACCATTTTTATTACTAAGGTGGAAAGGATCTCAATCCTTTTGACTTTGATTTTCAGTCCGATATTGAAGTTCTTAATCTCTCTGTCCAGTCCAAGTTCAGGAGATTTTATCCTCAGGCATAGCAAAAGTATTTTATCCTCAAGCACATGAAAATTATATAAAGAAGCACAGATGCTTTCAGGACCCTCGAAAGCAGGCTCTTCCTGTGGAAGCCAGGGGCAAGGACTGTGTGATGAAATCTTAGAGACCTAAAAAATAGACGTTGTTGCCATGTACGCGTTGAGCATTTTCTTGATTTTTACAGGTTATTTCATGCTGAAATTATGCCTGTTTGCATGGATAGTCATTCTTTAAAACTGGCCACAGATGCAGTCCTAGGGAGCACGTAGATGTTTTTACAGGTGAACCGAAAGAGATGGGAGCAGTTCCAAGGGCTCTGCACGCTGCCTTTGGCAATGGACTCTGTTATTGTGAAGATGTGCTCTGTTAAGCAAACGTGAAGTTTCATATTAGATAAACCCCGTGTGAAAAAAAATATTTTCATTTTCCTCATCAAATGCTAATTGTAAGTAAAAGAGATGTGACATCTTATATTTAGACAGAATTTGGGGTTAGCATCACTGGTGAATAAGCCATAAAATATGTCAAGTGTCTTTTGTCAAATGCAAGGAAGGATGTTCTCTTTTTATATTGCATTCCCAAGAAACAATGGGAATTCAGACGCAGAAATATGTAATATTTCTCACATGCTGGATTTTCTCTCTTCTGTTCCTTCTTTCAGTCATTTTGTCAGTGTTTTTCTCTTTCGTTTGCCAGAGAAAATAAAATTCGCCCATGCTGTATCTTGAAGAGTTTCTCTAGGCAGGTGAAGTCCGATTTTGACCAATTTTACCAGAAGCAAACTAGGACCAAAGGAGTATTTTCCTTGCCTAACTCAGATTTATTGTTGCACATAGTGATCTCTGAAATGTGACAACCTCCTCCTTTGCACTCAGCTCAACTTTATAATAATTTAAGTCACTGGGAAAATTTAGAAATATTCTCGTGCTTACGTTAAAACCTAGCAACAGATACATCTAGAATCATTTTACCAATAAAAATGCATATTGAGGCTAAATAAACAGATCTGTAAAATGAGTATCTGTGCATGAATTTCCAAACTAAATGGACCGTTTGTGTTGGGAGGATGCTGATAGGGGTGTTGCCCTCCCCATTTCACAGATGACAAAAAGATCTTAAAATGCAGTTTAATAAAGGGGGTGCAAGAGATTTGCATTTATCTTAGAGTCTTTTTCCTTTTGCAACACTTAACCCACAGTGATTTCAAGGCAGAGATGGAGTCTCTTATCCAAATTTCATGTAGTCTCCACATTCAGCCTTATTTCTTAAGGGCAGGCCACTCTCCCCCTCACCTTGCTGTGATTCCCAATGCCCAAAATCTAATCAATTGCTTGTCAGAGGCTGTGTTCTTATAATCTACTGTTTCTTCTGAAGATAAACAGTATCATTTTAGGCATTTGTGAAAGAGAATCATATTACTGGTGCTTAAGCAGTTTTTGCTTTTTTTTTTTAATCTTAATCCATCTTAAACCAGTGGAGCAGAAATATTTAAAAATGTTTCATTTCAAGCAGAGTGCATAATAAATTGCAATAATTGTAATGTGCCATAAATCCCAGAGCCTATGCATTTTGCATTGGATTCAGGATTGAGGTCAGGAAATTTGGAGAAATTTAAAGAAAATGATTCATCAGTCCTTTTGTTCTGTTGGCCAGGGTCCCGGGATTCTTGAGCTGTGCCCAGCTGACGAGCTTTTGAAGATGGCACAATAACTGCCCAGTGATGCCTGACCATGACAGCAGAGGCCTCTTAAGCCGGCAAACCAAGAGGAGAAGAGTTGACATTGGAGTGAAAAGGACGGTAGGGACCGCGTCTGCGTTTTTTGCTAAGGCCAGAGCCACGCTTTTCGGCGCCATGAATCCCCAAGGTTCAGAGCAGGATGTGGAGTACTCAGTGGTGCAGCACGCGGACGGGGAGAAGTCGAACGTGCTCCGCAAGCTGCTGAAGAGGGCAAACTCCTACGAAGACGCCATGATGCCTTTCCCAGGGGCGACCATCATTTCCCAGCTGTTGAAAAATAACATGAACAAAAATGGTGGCACGGAGCCCAGTTTCCAGGCCAGCGGTCTCTCCAGCACCGGCTCCGAAGTACATCAGGAGGATATATGCAGCAACTCTTCGAGAGACAGCCCTCCCGAGTGTCTTTCCCCCTTTGGCAGGCCTACCATGAGCCAGTTCGATGTGGATCGCTTCTGCGACGAGCACCTGAGAGCCAAGCGTGCGCGGGTGGAGAACATCATCCGGGGGATGAGCCATTCCCCCAGTGTGGCGTTAAGGGGCAATGAAAATGAAAGAGAGCTGGCCCCGCCGTCGGTGAGTCCCCGGGAAAGTTACCGGGAAAACAAGCGCAAGCAGAAGCTGCCCCAGCAGCAGCAGCAGAGCTTCCAGCAGCTGGTGTCGGCCCGCAAAGAGCAGAAGCGAGAGGAGCGCCGACAGCTGAAGCAGCAGCTGGAGGACATGCAGAAGCAGCTGCGCCAGCTGCAGGAGAAGTTCTACCAGATCTATGACAGCACGGACTCAGAGAACGACGAGGATGGGAACCTGTCGGAAGACAGCATGCGCTCCGAGATGCTGGAGGCCCGCGCTCAGGACTCGGTGGGCCGCTCGGACACTGAGCTGTGTGAGCTGGACCCGGGGCAATTCATCGACCGCGCCCGGGCCCTGATCCGCGAGCAGGAGCTGGCAGAGAACAAGCCCAAGCGGGAAGGCGGCCACAAGGAGCGGGACCCTGGGCCCAATGCCCTGCAGCCGGAGGGCAAGCACCTGGCTGAGACGCTGAAGCAGGAGCTGAACACGGCCATGTCGCAAGTGGTAGACACCGTGGTCAAGGTCTTCGCAGCCAAGCCCTCCCGCCAGGTGCCTCAGGTCTTCCCGCCGCTCCAGATCCCCCAGGCCCGCTTTGCAGTCAATGGCGACAACCACAATTTCCACACCGCCAACCAGCGCCTGCAGTGCTTCGGGGACGTCATCATCCCCAACCCCCTGGACACATTCGGCAGCGTGCAGATGCCCAGTGCCACGGACCAGACGGAGGCCCTGCCCCTGGTGGTCCGGAAGAACTCCTCTGACCAGGTGGCCCCTGGGCCTCCCGCGGGCAGCCACCACCAGCCCCTGCACCAGTCGCCTCTCTCCGCCACCGCCGGCTTCACCACATCCACCTTCCGCCACCCCTTCCCCCTGCCCTTGATGGCCTATCCGTTCCAGAGTCCCTTAGGTGCTCCTTCTGGCTCCTTCTCGGGAAAAGACAGAGCCTCTCCCGAGTCCTTAGACTTAACCAGGGAGACGACCAGTCTGAGGACCAAGATGTCATCCCACCACCTGAGCCACCACCCCTGCTCACCAGCACACCCACCCAGCGCCGCCGAAGGCCTCTCCCTGTCGCTCATCAAGTCTGAGTGCGGCGATCTGCAGGACATGTCCGAAATCTCGCCCTACTCGGGAAGTGCAATATCCTTTTCTGCTCCGCCCGGGGCGCCAGCCCACCCATCCCAACCCAGACCCACAAGGGCGTCCCCAGGTCAGGTCTGCACCATGCATAGCTCGGTGTAGATGAGTGCCTTCTTGAACACTCCTAGAAAGAACCAAATCCCTCTAGAAAGAAGGCTGTCTTTCCTCTTATTCCAAGTGGTAGGCTTTCAGTGCCCCGCAAGCCCCTCTGATGCCCAGAGACTCACAGGAAACCACCATCTCGACTCCACAGCCTGCTGGGGGCCCCCAGAACCCGTTCATCCCTGGCTCCCCAGTAGTGTTTTTCTGCTGGGCCTCCTGTTCTCTTAGCCTTTCTCTTTGATGAGCAGATGGAAAGATGGAAGGAAAAAAAAAATCTCAGCCTCCTATTGAATTCTATCAGATAATTTTTAAAGATGGTAAGTTTTAGAAAAGAGAAAAAGTCAGTTTACATATCCCGAAGACTCCTTCAGAAGAATTCTCCCTGGAAGCCATCCCCCAAAGCTCCTGGTGCCTTCAGAGAAGGCCCCACTGACTCTTGGGGAGGCACTGCCCCTTGGGAGGCCCAGTGGAGAAAGGTGGACTTGGTAGGGAGTCAGAGTCTCTCTTCAGTCTGTAAAGGAGACTTGGGTTTTTTTTTTTTGGGTTTTTTTTGTTTTGTTTTGTTTTGTTTTAAGGAAATAGACAGGTACTGATGTATTCAGAGAGCTTTGGGATCTCCTATTCGTTCACCCAAAGTCTGTTCTTTGGGCCGGGTGCAGCTGGCTCTATGCATGATTAACCTCTGTTCAGCCATACACAGAAATCTTTTGTCCCAACATACACAAAGCAAATTATTTTGGAAAGCCAGAGAGCACAATTAAATATAAAACTCAGCTGTATGTGACTTCAAAAATGGCTGGCTATCTCATCAGTTTCTCACATTCAGAACCTGACGTTTCTATTCAGATGCCAGTTATATTTTTTATAAGATCTCCCAAAAGCCCAGTTCTTTTTAATGGATGGGTTGTTGGTTTTTTTTCTCTGTAAATCCATCCTTTTGGTAAATTTCGTAAAATATTGTGGTCGTGGGTGTTTGGGAGAGCAGAATAGTGCCACTGGGGGGGGGGCAGATAGAGGTATGTTTCTGTTATAATCAATTACCAGATGGAAGTAAAATTTAGCAATTCAGCTGGCTGTTGCTAAATTGAGGATTTTGAGCAATCGTCTTGATGACTAGAGATTGACATTTTAGAAGCTCAGCCCACTCCAGAGGCTGCCACGTAAGTGCAAAGTCCCAGCCACGGTGGCGATGGTTTCTGGGGGGTGACGTCTGCCTTGTAGGAAGGCCATGAAGATTTCCATTAGGTGACTAGGAGTCAACGTGCCTGAGACCCACTCGGGCAGGAAAACAAACACAGGGCACCTATCCCTGGACAGGAAGAAGAAAATAAAGTCCTGAAAAAATGAAGAGAAAGATGCTCAGGACTTAGAAATAGGGCCTCACCTGGAGGCTGGCTGTGGCCCCTGGTCACTGCTGTCTTGCAAGGATCTGAAGTTTCATTCATCAATCATGAGTCAAAGCCTCACCCTACCTGTCACAAGCAGGCAGCAATAAACATCAGGCAAACAACTGGACTGCAGCTGCTGGTGAGGATAGGGGTGCAGCTAGAGGACAGGGCTGTCAGTGGATTTTTGTTCTGGGCTAGAAAAGGGTCCCAGGCTGAAGTCCAGTTGTGCTGCTCTCTCTCTCTCTCTCTCTCTCTCTCTCTCTCTCTCTCTCTCTCTCTCCTCTCTCTCTCTCTCTCTCTCTCTCTCTCTCTCTCTCACACACACACACACACACACACACACACACATTTCTCTCTCTGTCTCTCTGAATATTTGAAGCCAGGTCTTTGAGCCCTATAAAACTATTTAAACGCAAACTGCCAGTTAATGTTTTTTGAAATTAGCCTTTTCATTTTACCCAGATAATTGTGCCCTCCCCCCCCCCTCTCCAAGTTGGGTCTTCTAGGAAGAAAATCTTTCAGCTAAGTGTAGGCTCTGCCCATTGTCTCACCCTCTCTAAATCCCCTGAGGAATGCTGAGAATTTGAATGGAAAGGAGTCCCTTTTCTTTCTCAAGGCTGCAAAGGCTTGATGGGAGACCAGGGCAGCTTCTTGAGCCGGTAAGTTTTCCTCTGGCCTCCCAACAGCAGAGGCTGCCAAGCAGCCCTGCTTTAGAAACACTAGAGATTGGAAATGTTAGTTCCTTCTACCTGGCTTTGGGGTGCCTCAATAATCTGCGTCTTTGGGGGCAGCGAGTGCTTAGTTTCCCAGCTCTGGCTCTCCTGTTGCCTTCTCTTGCCCTCTGGTCCCAGCATTCTGAAGCATGCTTCATTGAAATGTGATGTTCCAGGAGGAAGACAGGCAGGCCCCTTTCCTGTGGCTTCTCCAGCCCCACAGCCAGTGAGGACCTGAGTGTGGGGGGACAGTCCATTTCTTTCCGATCTCCATCCTCTTGGCCTTGAGTCTCCCCAGATTCACCTGCTAGTGTAGAGCCCCAGTTCTCCAGCTCAAAGCTGTGGAAATCGCTGAGCCTAACAGAGAGGGATGTCTTAGTTTTCAGCCTGTAAGATCACATCGGAATCTGTTGTCCAGCTGTTCTAGAAAACCATCCACAGAGATGGGGTGAAATGGGCCCGTGATGGTCGGCACGACTGCTTTCACTTTTACTTCCTGGCTTCCCAAATGGTAACAAATCGTTGAATTCTTAAGGAACGATTCTTTCCCACTCCAAAGGGCACCATCTGTTTCTTTGAACAAAGTCGCCAAGATAAGAACTATTAAGAACACCAGCTTATCAAAGAAGCCCATTTTGAGTTGAGTGCTGAGCCCAAGTGTATAATCGGACTCACAGCCTCCTCGGGCCTTGAACAGAGGGACAGTGGGGCTGCGTGCCGGTTCAGCTGGGTGCCAGAGCACCTGCCCCGGACCCCCTGTCTTGAATATAAAAAATGTACTTAGTATCTTTGCAAATGAATCTATTTAATCAAATACTAAGTTTTATTCAAATTCCGAAAGAAACAGCCAGCCAATTGTTTTTGCTCCTGATGTTCCTTGTCCTTCACCCTCTTTGCATCTCAAGAAAAATAGCCTTGTTGAGGCCTCAGCTATTTGCATGCACCCAATTAAAGCACAGGAACAGTATTATGAGCGTCAAGACACGCAGGTGAAGAAACTGAGTGATTTCTCCCAGGGCCGCCTCTCCTGTTCCACTTTCAGGGCGAGTGTCACAAATACTTGAGATTAGAAAGGAAGACTGTTTTAGGTAGCTTGCCACAAAAATCCAGCAGCCAGCACACATGGATTGGAAATGAATTTCTCCAATGAGAAATGATCTGGAGAATTTGATCTCTCCCATGTTTGGAAGCCTGGGCTGGGAGCCATTAGGCAGCTGACCTGTGGTGGACAGACGGTCTGACCACTGCAAGGCCCCGATTCCTTCCCTCCCCCCTTCACACAGTAAGTGAACATTTTCCAAATTCCATAAACTGCCCATCCCACCGGTCCTGTCCAGATACCTGGGGGGCAGCAGCCCCAACACTGCCATGCGTTGAGATCATTCCCCCCAAGTCAGGCCTTCCAGCCTCACTGCCACTCCCAGTCTACAGGGAGGGCTGCCATTCTGCGGGTTTCACGAGAGTTTTAGAAACTGTCAGGCGTCCTCACCCACTTAGCTGGGTGGGCAGCTCGTCCAGTCCCTGGCCACAACTCAGAGTTCAATGGGGGGCAGGGAGGGATAGTTTCTCAGTGCTTTGCCTTTGCAACCTATTCTTTCATTTGCCTTTTTGCTGCCGGCTCCTCCTGCGCGGCTGTTGAGGTGAGGTTATATTGTGCTTGATAAACAGACACCGCATTCGCCGCTCAGGCTGTTTGAACACCGCCCTAGGTTCAGCCGCCTACCTCACTTCTCTGATCTTTTCTATTCCACAGCAGATGTCTTTCATTAATTTATGGATTTATCATCTTTTCTTTTTTTTCTTTTTCCTTTCCTTTTTTTTTTTTTTTACACCTGGCAGCTGTCTCAAGTTTCAGCAGTTATTGTCTATTTTGCATTACACATAGAATTGAATGTCCTCTGTCTTCACAAAGCTAGGGCTAAGAGAATTGAAGCAAAGCCACGGAGCTGCCAGGACCCAGCTTGTTTGCGTTCCATCCCCCACCCCCGCCCCCTTACCTCCTTAATATTTATTTGTGCTCATTTTCTTTCCTGGCCTTGAATGGAGCTTAGCTCGTGTTCAGTACAGCTGTATGTTTACTGAGTCAATTCCATCCTGACTCATTGTACGTGTGTAAGTATCCTGGAAACAGCTAGTGCTTTCTTGGAAGGACAGTTGCTTTTCAGCACAAGCACTTAAAAGGGAAATTAACCAATGGGTCAGTTCAGATTTATTTTGAGGAGGAAAAAAAAAGGATTATCTAACTGTTGGCTTTTGAAGGTTTCATTAGCTATTTTTAATAGTTGATTAGAGACCTATATGTTGTAGGCATTTTATCTTCATCATACAATCAAGAGATTGAGATTTATTCTGGGTTCCCTTTGAGCTGATCAATTCCAAGTATTATCCACAGCAAACATTTTAAAGTGAAGATGGACTAGAGAATAGAGAAGTTCAAATGTGAAGCATTTTTTTCCATCAACTAAAAAGCTTCAAAGTTCCAACCAAAAAAGATAAGAGGTTTGCTCTTCTGTTTTTTTGTTTTTTAATAAAATGAACCAGAACATCTTAGTCTAATTTAAATGTCTGGAAAGCTCCAGGAAGTTTTGATAGTTCTGTGCTGTCTGAAAACCACAGGCAAACAGTTTGTTAGGCTGCGACCACTTTTGAACAGACGCAGGCTTCTCCTGCTCATCATTCTGTGCACCGGCTAAAAGAGAAGATTAGAACCCAGATCCAAGAGTGTTTGTTGGAGTCTGGACTTGCCTAAAAGTATTATCACGAGGCGCTGGGAGACAGCTTGCCATTATGATTTCACTTATCCATCTGGACAGATGGTCCTGAAGTGCGAGGGCTCCTCGTCTTTGCTTCCATCTAATGGAGGTGACTAGCGGCTGTCCCAGCCCTCTCCTTGGCACAAAAAGTATGTCAGCCATAAATTATGTCTTTGCAATCATTAAGGATCTCAAACAAAAACACAAGTTCCGTTAAGCTGCTTTGGCTTACGCATAGAAAATCAACATTTCTTTCTTCCCTGTTTATTTTCAGCATGGGGGAAAAAAAAGCCCGATATTGAACTTTCCTACTTATGGGCGGAGGTGATCTTTTATAAATTGGCAGGATCTGAAAGGGAATACTAATGGGTCAAATCTCAGCAGAGTATTCCGTTAAACACCCTGTTATAAGTTCGTCAAGAGCTTATCAATATTAATTTGATTTTGCTTCTCTGGTAACTCCTGGATTTCCCCGTTACTAAAATTGCTCATACCGTGTTTAAGGGGGGGCACCCTGGAAACCCTCATCTTCTCTACAGATCTGTGCTCACTTGCCCTTTCTTTCTAAGATAGGAGATTTTTTCTTAGCTAGTAAGGCATGTATGTGTTTCTTTTTCCTTCTTCTTTTTCTTCTTTTTCCCAGACTCTCTCTTAAGAGAAAATCCTTAGAGAAGCTTCTAGGAAGGACCCTTAATTGACCTTGTGGGGGACCACATTGATTTTCTCCACGTGCATCTTCATTTCTGATAAATTATAAAGCCATTAATTTGCTGAGGAAATGGCAGGGCCAGGCTGCGGCACAGATGTGACCAGGGCTGCCCCCACCCTGATCTGCTGCTCAGCGCCAAGAATCTGGGGAGAATCAGGAAGCCGGGATTGTTATGGTTAGCTCCGCGTTCTCCTGGGGACTGTTTTAGTTGCTGCTGTTTACAGATCTAAAAGGTAATGATGTTTCCAGATAAATAGGCCTTCTTATTTTGGGTAAGTGGCCATTTATTGATCTGCTAACCCACACTTAATGATTTGTGAGCCCCCACCACCCGGCCCCCTCTCAAAGGAGTTAACTATAAATCCAAGAAAGGCCAATTGGATTTGGTTGGAATCTTCCTTTAACAAAAGCGACACCCCTCTCTGCTCTTTCGGTGTCACAATGACCCCTCCCAAGTTTGAGCTCTTATTTGAAAGGAAACAATTACAAGGATATAAGAAGATAGGGAGAAAGTAAGCAAAGATATTCCTGTAGCTTAGCACTAAAAGGTACGCGTGAAGCTGGCCTAACAGTTCTAAATAATGCATTTTATATCTTCACGTATGTTCATAAAATAATTTGATGTAAACTGCAGAGAGTGGAGAGAAGAACAAACAGAGCTGTAATTGTGAAGAAGAAAAAGCCCTCATGATAAGAGTTGCGCTGTACATGCGGGCGCATTTGTCTCCTTAGCAACAAGTGAACTTATAGCTGCACGGGCGCCTCCGACGTGGAAGGCCGTGCCATCCTCACCGCCGGCAGCCAAGACCACGCGGTCGAGGCTGCCTCCGCACGCCACCGTGGTGGCCATCTCTGGCAGGCAGTGGTCAGTCAAGTCGGTGGCAGCGATGGGCCGTGGATTCTGTGGCCGGTGCCTCTGACCTGCCAGGATCCCCTGTGTCTTGGTGGGCTCTGACTCTGCGGGAGGGGGCAGGGGCGGTGCTCGTGTGGAAAGACACCATCCTTAACCGATTGCATCCCACATGCAGGAAGGGCTGTCCCCCAATCACTTGAAAAAAGCGAAGCTCATGTTCTTTTATACCCGCTACCCCAGCTCCAACATGCTGAAGACCTACTTCTCCGACGTCAAGGTAGGCGCTTTCTCATTTTCCATTTCGGTGCGCAGGGCAAGTAGTTACCCCAATGTGAGGGTGGCGAGTGTGGGCCTGTCTGCCTGGCCCTTGGCCGCTCCTGGGAAGAGCCAGGGCAGGGAGGCCCTTGTGCCCAGAGCACCGACGTGGATGAGCCCCGGGGCCCAGCGTGGTCAGAACATTGGCTGTCGTGAGATGCTCTGCTGGCTTCTTGGAAGACATTTCAGCTGGTACTGGATGCTGGCCTTAGGGGATGCCTCCCCCTCCCCTCAACAGTAAACTGTTCCTGTTTTTGTTTTTGTTTATTTCCCATATTTATGCTTATGAAAGCAAACTCTAGCACCTCGCCCCCCTCCCCGTTGAAAAGGAACGTACATTGAAATTCTCTATGCAGTAGCTGCTTAAAAACAAAAGTGATGATTGTCTCTTATTTACAACTTAATTTGTTGTTGATGTAGAGTACACTGAGCATAAGGAGAATGAATAAAGTGACAGATTCAGGACACATTATTCAAATGAGGATATGAAAGCTGTCGGCTTACAGCTGCAGCCTCCCTCATTCCACAGAATACGGGACCTCCTGGTTCCCCGTGCAAGTGCCTGCGTGCATCTTTGTGCCTGTGTGTGCACACACCTGCGTGTACCCTTGCGTTCTCTGTGCAGATTGGAAGAAATGGTTTGCTCCACTTCACATTGGGTTAATCTCTGCAACTTTTTAAACATATACTGGGTTCTGATGATGATAAAAATGTCGTGATCCAAGGAACCTGGTAAACCTAACATTAGCTGAGATTAGCTGATTAGGGCTTGGTGGGTGCTCCCTCCAACTCCCTCCACCCCTCTACCTCCCTCACCCACCCCCATACGTACCAGTTCTTACATCTGCCACTGAGAACTCACAAGCTGCCCAGACACACTGAGCCTCCCCCACCACGCACACTGAGCTTGCGCCCACCACCCAAGTTGCTCCCTGGCCCCCTGGCAGGCCCACTCATGGCAGTTTCCTCCTCTTGTGTTTTATTTGGCCTTCTAAGAAAAGTTCTGTTTCCCCTCCTGTTTGCTTTGAATTGTGTATCAACTTCAGCCTCTCTCTCTCTCTTTCCTTGGCTGTGCTCCTCCAGTGCCGGCGAACCAGGCAGGACGGGAAGGCAGAGAAAGGCAGGGGCCTCCATACTGGCTAAGAATCCTTAAGAACAAAGGAGACCGTGTGAATCTAGGGGCCAGGGAAGGACTCGGGCCTGGGAGGAGGGTCATCTAAAATAGACAGATTTGAGGGAATCTGTCAACAGGTTGAGGACAGTCAGCCTCTAGACCCTAACCAAAGCTGGCAAAGCTCTTCTAGGGCTCTTCCCCCACACTCTAGTTTCTAGGAGGGGCAGGAGGAGAGGGAGAAACCATCAAGGGCACTGGTGTGTGTGTCCATGACCTCACTATCCAGTTTGCTCTCGGTGCCACGATCAGCACCCTGGGTTGTGATGGAATAATCACACCCCCTTGTATTATTTTTATAGCACCTTCATTCAGAGGGAGGACAGAGAGCTTCACAGGTGAGGACAGAGAGAAGATCACCTACCACTGACAGGCAGCCATCCTGAGCAATAGGTGTAAATATTAGGGGTGTGTGGTGGGGGGGGAGGGCAGGTGAGGGAGATTCTTGAGCTGTAGCTTTATAATTACTGTGCCATGTAAGCCCACAAGAAATTGTTCCCAAATCACCACTTTGTGTAAATAACAACTAAATACCTGGGTGAAGGATTTCTTTAGAAAAACTCTAATACTCAGTATATAGATGGATTCTGTGCATCCTCTACCCTTACTGGGAGAGGCCTTTAAAGTCCACGTGAGTCTGGTTTGCCCCAAGCACCCACCCTAATGGAGGGAACAGTAGGGCTCATAATGCAAAGCAGAAAATCACAGAAGGTCATTTCTCTTTTATTTTCGGAATAAATTATACAATGTTAACTTTCCTAATTATGTTTTTTCTTGGCCTGGTAATAAGTAAATTTGTATTCCCGGAGCTTACACTGATGAGAGTGGAAAGTTGTGCACAGAAGGGGCAGCCAGCCCAGCCACATGTTCCAGAAACTTTCTAGAAAGCAATGGCAGACATCCTTAGATTTCTTTCAGATTAAGGAAAGCCCAGAATCTGAATTTGGACAGTGCATATACTCATAGCCTCCATGCATGTGTGCATTATGCCATACACACACATGGCTGGACTTGGGTGTGGCTACTTATTTGCTAAAATGGGTGAAAAGTTCTCTACCTGTGAATATAGCGCCCAAATTTTTATTTTGGCCTGGATTGAAGAAGCCACTACAGAATTGAGACATCCCTAGAAACTGGGGAAGAGGGAACTTAGGGTTTTGTCAGAAAAACCCTGCCCCATCGCTCTTGAAAAAGACGAGTAATAATAGCTGTGGAAATGCACAGCCTTGGCTGGTGGTGGCCACAGTCAGCTCCGGGGAAACGCCTCTTCCACAGAACATTCCTTTCCACACCATAAAGTCAGTTCACCTCCGACAGCCATCAGAAGTTGGTGTTGTGAATGAACTACCAGGAGAAGCAACGCAAGTGGAAAATGTTTTGTCTCCTGAAGATGGTGTAGACTAGCCATCCCAGATGCCTCTGCAGATGGTAGGAGATAGTCTCCCCAAAACCCTGGTGGGGGTGTGTGTGGGTAGATGGGCAGGGCGGCCTCTCCTTGGTGTTTCTCCTTCAACATGGCTCGTAGTTCCCCACGAGTGACTTCCACTTGGGTAGGAGATAAATGCTCTTAACTTAGCCTGGGAAGAGACCACTAGTGAAGCCCTGTGACTGAGAGAAGTTCTTCTCCAGTGTCCAGGAAACACAGGTGACTTCACAGAGTCCCCTTTCTCACAGAGTCCAACTTAATTCCCTCAGCCAGACAAAAAAGATCAGCTCCTCAGGCTTCAAACCCACCGGAGGGACCAATGTGAGCAGCACGGGCTGGGCCCCTCCTCCTGCCCCTGCAGGTGCTGATGCTTGTGTAGAAACTCACAACTCTGGGACCACTGAGTAAAACAGACCCAGCATCATTTCAGCTTGGAAGAGCACAGGCTCACGGCTTTTCAAGCCGCAGTGTTAAATGATGTATCTCATTCCTCCACCCCTTAAGTCAACTGCTGCCTAGCCAGATTAAGGTGTCAGATTGATTTGTTTTATACATCTTTTGACCATGCTCATTGAATATTTAGGAAGTTTCTTCAGCCCATATTGAGGCTGAGATGTCCCGTGGGAAGCATTAATCAAAGTCACAGAGACTCGCGCTGTGGAAACACAGCCTCTTTATTGTAGCGATTAGTTTTTGCAGTAACACATTAACACACTACAGAGCTTTCCTTTATAGAACAATTGATCCTTTTCTTGTAAGCCACTACAGAACGGGGGAGGAGGGTGTGTGGATTAACTCTTTAAAGCTGAACCTTTTTTCTGCCCCCCCCCCATGTGAATCGCCTGCAGAAGAGGGGCCTGCTTTCCTCGTGGCCAGCAAGGAAACCCCGCAGATTTCAGTTGCCTCTGATTGGAGGGAAGAAATCCTCTTCTTCAAGCTGTCGTGTTGGCCATTTTACTTTTCTCGTTGGAGGAGTCTGTTGTTTTTGTCCATTCTTTCTCTGTGGTATTTCCATTCCCTAACAATAAGCTTTAAATCTCCCTTTAGGTCCCGTTCCTAAATAATGGCAAATGCACTTACTTTTTTGTCCTGCCCATTAGGTCATTCATGACCATTCTAGGAAAAAAAAATACCCTTCTATTTTTTTCCTCTACAGTACTCTTGTCCATATGAGACAATGTCTTGTAACAATGCAGAAGCCTAATCTCCATGTCAAAGCAATTTTCATTCCCCAGTGCACAGCCTGCTATCATTTTGTAATGTTTTGTTTCTTATTCTAAAAGAATTAAAAAGGAACAGTAAGCCGTCACGGGGCCTGTGGTCCTTATCTCAGTGTCTGGAAATTTGGACAGTGTATTTTACTGCTGAGATAAAATGGAAAGAACTCCAAGTTCAGCAAATCGTAATGGGTTTAAGTTCTATTGAAATCGGCAACCAGAAGATCAGATAACGGGGGTCTTTCAGTTGTCTTTTTAATCGGGTTCCCCGCAAGGCTGAATAGAGACAGAGCAGACACACAGAGTGAAAATATAATTCTTGGATAGGTTAAGTACATGTTTGAACTCTTGCAAGCAGAAGCGATTTGCTGATGACTTAATCATTTTCTGGTCAATTATCTGTAAGGGCCCTTGCAACTCCATGGCAATTATGATGCAAGTTGGCCTTTTGGGAGAAACACCAGTCTCCCTGCTTCTGTTTCCTTGTTCCTTCCATTCTCTGCCATAAATTTTCATTCATTTATTATCTTTGCTAGTGGAGAAACAACTTTCTGTGGAGTAATTATAGCGCTGACACACGTTAGTGGCCGACTTCTTGGAACCTGGAGGTTCTCTTGCCCGTGTTTGATAAGGGGGTCTTTGTTGATTTCTGATGAATGTACATCTTTTTTCTGGGGGCCCGGGGAAGGGCATGCCTGCGATGACAAAAGACAGGGGGTTGTCTGTCAGCCTGCCTGAAATAAAGCCGTGGATTTATTGGTTTTGACTTGGCAAGTTGAGACGCATCTGTCCTTTAAGTCAAGAGAGGCTGTCAATAAGAACAGCCTCACGTGCGGGGGCTCCAGGGGGAGGTCTTCATCTCAGAGGCCATCGGGAAACCTTGTCAAAAAAAAAAAAAAAAAGTTTTATAGTAATCATGTTATAGTAACTTGGCATTTTTTAAAAAAATGTAATAAAAACTCCACGCCATCTGTGTGGCACATCTAAGCCACACCTCCCCACAGCATGGCTCTTACCGAGGGCTGTAGGAGTTTGAGCGGCTACTGGGGCCTCTGCTGACACCCCTGGCCATGAGGACCTGTGCAAACAGGAAGTACAGGTGTAACCCATAACCGTGGGCATCCCCCGGGACCAAACATATAAGCAAATGCCATTTCTGCCCCCTTGGTATGAAAGCCAACCCCCTGCATTAACTGAGGTATATCTGTGAGGATGTAAATTCTAACTTAAAAAAATCAGGCTAACGGGGAAGCCCTGGGCATAGCACTGCTGGCTCCTGAAAGCAACAGCTCTTCCCAGGATTCCATAGCGTGGGAATTTCCCTAAGAAGTATGCAAATGAGGTTTTTCCTACAAAAAGACAAGTTAAAACATTTAAAAGAAGAGATTTGTCTTAAGGAGAATCAAATGCATCAGGTGATTCTCCTTCCAAAGTGTCGGGGTTTGTGATGGGGCATCCAGGGCCCACAGTTTGTGTGACACCTGGTAAGTCTGTCCTGGCCCTTGCTGCCATTTTGGCAGAATTACAACATAGCTGTCAAGGAAGGAGGGGAGGGAAGTATTTAAATGCTTCAGATGCTCAGAGGAAAAACAAAATGCCGGCTTTCTTACCCTCTTAATGCTTACATTGAACAGTTCAACAGGTGCATCACTTCCCAGCTCATCAAGTGGTTCAGCAACTTCCGCGAGTTCTACTACATCCAAATGGAGAAGTACGCGCGCCAGGCCATCAACGACGGGGTCACCAGCACCGAGGAGCTGGCCATCACCCGCGACTGCGAGCTCTACCGGGCCCTGAACATGCACTACAACAAGGCCAACGACTTTGAGGTAGGAGCCCTGCTTTGTTTCTGCTCACGTCCCGTCCCTTTACTTGGAAAAAGTATTTTCTTTAGAAACACTGATTGCATCTTGGCTGATTGCATCTTGGTCTCGCACAGAAACACCTCCTGGTAGGAGAGCCCTAGAGTGGCCAAGAGGCACCCCTGCGGTCCCACCTTGATTTCCTTTCTCATTCCCACCTTGCTGTCTGCCCCAAAGACCCTTGTAGCCACGGGAAGAGAACCAGAAGGTCCAAAGTGGTGGCAGCTGGGGACACTCAGAGGTTCCCTTTCCAGGGTAGAGGCCCTGCTCCTCCCCCCAGCTTTGTACATCCCTGGTTGTGAGCTGTAGGCTGAGCTGATATGTGTTCTCTGTGCCATGGAAGCTGCAACACTGTTTTCTGAAAGTGTTGATGGGGAGTGAGTCCGGGGTTTCCAACATTTTTTAAACAAATTTCACTGGTTTGCCATTCGTTTACTGAACTGTGGGATTTTTGGAGCATGGCTTCACACCTGGGCGTGTGCACCTGCTTCCCTCACCCTCCCCGAACCTCCTGTGCCAGCTCCCCATCTCTCACCCCCCGCCACCCCAGTGCAGGAGTTATTTTTGTTGTGTGTTGCCAGTTTGTTGTCTGTGGTTATTTATATTCCTCATATGAGCAAGCCCATCCAGTCACTGTCTTTGCTTCCTTCACCGAGCATCAGAGCCTCGGGATCCAGCCATCCACTCCCGGAAGGCACGATTTCATCTTTTTTAATAGCTGAGCGGTGTCACTTTGGGTATATATTCTGCACTCACGATCACAAATGGGCAACAGGCCTCAACAGACTCTTCTCTATCAGCATTTATTTCAATGAGCATTTTTTCCTTTGTGGAAGGAGAGGCAGCGTGTGCGACCATCACAGCCTCTCCTTTTTGTTTTTGTCCTGTCTGAAGAAGGCCCTGGGCACGCGGTGGCTGGGTTTCTCTTCACTCGTGTGCCTTACATGTATTTATACACATTGACAACGCGCATATTCTAGACTCTGGCGAGCAGCATAAATGATCTCCAGAAATCAGTGTCTACAGCTGGGAGACATGTGGTGTGAGTGAGGCGTGTCTTCGTAGGCAGATAGGGTGCCTCAGCAGCACGTTGACTGGGGGTGAGACCCTGCTGAGAAGCGCCCAGGGCGCCAGGGCCTTTTGCTAACCCTGCTGCTGAGGCCATGGGTCTCAGAGTTTGGGATGCATCAAGATGCTGATACCCCCATGACCCCCTGCTCATCCACTCATTTGGGGGTCCTTCTCCCCTTTTCTTAGCATGCACAGCAGTGATGTAGCTTGGGAAGCACCGAGTACAGAAACGAGGCGGGGGAAAGGTTGTGTGTTTTCCTTGAGCGCTTGAAGGCCTCTAGCCTCTGCATCTTTGCTCTCTGCAGCCAATTTACTTTTCTTGTCAAATGTGTTGTAGACTGTTTTCTTTGGCTGAACACTTTAAGAGGTGGGAAACTTCTTGTTCTGCTCTACCGTTGTAAAGCCTCCATTGCAGCAGGAGCGGCCTGACGGTGTGGACAGGACATTCTAGCAGCTTTCTCCTAAGACTGAATGTGACCAGGCTAAATATTTCAAAGGAACTGTATTAAGAGCTTCTTTACTCCTCTCCTCCTGGCCCCTTCAGATAAGTCTTTTGCTCTAAAGTTGAAGCTCAGAGAGCTTGAGCATGTTGGTGAACTACTGAGAGTTTACCTTGCTTGGCGGCATGCACCAAGGTGCTTTAAAAAAATTGTTCAAAGCTCATGGTGGTTTTCAACATTTTTAATGTGTAACATACTCAAGGGGACAAATCCTTTTCTTGCATATTGGGAATTTTAGGGTGTTTAGACCTTACCTGGTTGGAACCAGATCCCTCAGTCCCAGCACACTAGCCAAAGGACAGAAGCAGGGGGCCAGCACCCAGAGGTGCCCACAGACTACTCCATTTAGCATCATCTAAATCCCCCTTTAATATGATTAACATCTGAAAGTTCTCTCTGTGAATCACGCCCACTTCCGCCAGGCACCTCTCCTTTATCTTCAGTCTATTTTAGGACCACTTCAGGGCGAGGCAGGGGGGGCAATTTTGTCACTTGTCACCGACTTCCAAGAGTTATGGGATGACTCTGGGCTTCGTTCCTTCTGCAGTCAGGGGTTCAATCCTTCTGGAATGGTGGTGAGAAGGAAGCAGGAGCCCAGATTCTGCCCCGGTTCCCACAGGCCCACCTCCACGCCCCCTCCCTGCTATACAGGACCCCGGGTTGCTAGATTTTAATTTAGCCTCTCAGTTTGGCGCATTTACTAACAAAAGCTCCAGATAAGATGATCCCTTCTTTTCCGTGCCTTTGTGCTTGGAGGTCATTGCTTAAGAGAGATGCTTAAAAAGCCACAGGTCTTATCGTGGTGACTTTCCCAGTGTGGCCATGGCTGCCGGCCAAGAGTGGACCCGACACCTCGCTGAATGCCTTGCTGATAAGTGCGCGGCTGCTCCTGGGCTCAGGCTTCTCTCAGAGCAAGTAAAATGAACGTATAGTTTTCCAGAGCAAGTGGAGGTGAGGGCAGAGCACAGAACCATCCGCCTCAGCTCCTTTTGAAACAAGATGGCGCCCACAGAAGCCCTGGAGCCATGTCCCATGATGCTCAGCGCCAGGTCACTCAAAGGCGTGGGTTGACCGGAAGGGGTGTCCCCAGGTCAATGACAGAGAATCATGCTGACCGCGTCCTAACATTGCCCAGCCACTGCTTGTGGCCATAGCGAAATAGCCCCCATGCACGCTCTACTACTCTGTCCTGGATGCTTTTCTACGCCTTTTACCAAACCTAACTTAATGAAGGTGAGTGATCATAATGACGTGGATAGTCCTAGAACAACCAAAAAGCTTCCACTGGCCTAAGGCGTCATACCGTTTCTGTCAGTCTAAATGGGTAGGGACAGACGGAGCGCGGGAGCGGAGCGGTGTGAGGGCGACCCAGGCTGACAGTCCCCTCCTCCACTCTGCCCTCTCTTCCTTCCTCCTCCGCTCAGTCCCCCATGTCTCCTCTCAGCTCTCTGCTCTCTCTCTGTCACCAATGTTGGTGGCACTGGCCCCTGCAGCCCTGCTGATGGCTCTCCGGGCCAGCATGGGTGCCGACCCCTGGCCTCCAGGAAAATGAAGCAGACGGAGGTTTGTCGCTGCAAAGAGGGAGTGGAGGCTTCAAGCTCCTCCTCTGCAGGTTTCTTGACTTTTATGAGTCGGGACCCCCTAAGTGACCAGAGAGCTTCTCCTGCCTTATGTCTCAGTTTGTGCAGTGGCCCAGATTCTTGGCCAGTATTCAGACTTGGGGGTGGCCAGAGCTTGAAGGAACCCAGGGGGTGTGGAGGGAGGTGCAGGAGAAGTGAGGTACACTTTAGATTTGCGCTTCGTGGGGTGAGAGCCCCTACGCCCTGCGCCTGCTCTCGGCAGGTGAGCTCGCAAAGGTGTGCAGGGAGGGGTGCCCATCCCCTGCCTCCATCTAGCTCCTTCGCACGTTTAATGAGATTGGCAACAATGAATTTGTCTTTCCAGGTGTGAAGGTATATGTTTCCATGCTTCATTCGCACTTGGCTTTGAAGAGCTTCCAACATATTTTTTTATGGGGCGGGAACGCAGGTTTGGGATTCCTTCCCAGTTTTTAAATCATACTTCTGACTTTAGGAGCAAGAGGAGTTGCGTTTTATTGCGTTTTTGTTTCCCTCACAACAACCATGGCACAAGAGGAGGTAATGATCACTGTCAATTTCTGAGGCCGGTTTACAGGTATTTGCAAAGAACTCGACTAAGGTGCCCAACCTGTGTGACTCGCAAAGGTTAATTGCACCACTTAAGGGACTTCAAGATGCATCACCCCCAATTTGACTCCATTACCACTTCCTATGGTGAGGCCAGCAACAGCAGATGGTCTGAGGTGGGGTCTGGGAGTGGGACAAACACCCCCAGGCTGATGTTTCCAGCTTTAGGGACAGGTGAGTTGGGTTTTATTGCTTGTTATTTGGTTCCCTCTTAACTGTGGCCACAGAGGAGATAATGGAGGCTGTCTGTTTCCCAGGCCGTGCTGGGAGCTCTTACTCATTCTTGGGTACCATGAGGTGCCCTTGCCCCAGCATCTTCAGCCAGGCATCCTTGGTGGGACCCAGGGTGGCTCCCCATGTATCTACAGGCCAGGTCCAAATTCCCAGTTAGAGTGACCCACCTCCCTTGCCCTCATGTTAAAGACCCATGTTTGGGGATGGAAGGCTTCGCGGTATATGGAACAGAAGTTTGATTCATTGATAAGTAGGCTGGTGGATGTGGACCTTAAGGTCTAATGTCTCACGAGGCAGATGCTCCAGTTCCTGTAGTTATCACCTGACAAGTCAAAAGGACACTCCCAAGACCATTTGACTGTGGTCTCACTTGCCTTTGGGAAGAAGATTCAAAAGCGACTCCCTGTCTCGCAAGCAAAAGACACACACTGTCTCCCTCACCCCACCCCCACACCCAGTCCACTCCCAATTTCCATGAGATGCTCATTTAAGATTTCATCTATTTGGGCATCTTTGACGTGCATTGTCTTCTCTTTAAAGAAAAATGAGGGCAGGTGGATTTAGGAAGTGCTTCCCTCTGCTCCAGATAGACACTTAAATGTGAGTGATCACCGGGAAACTGGCGCCCGTGCAGCCGCTCTCCGCTGTGAGCGGGCTTTCGGCCTCAAAGCGGCTGAGCCTTGAAATGATCACACGACACACGCTTGGTGGGTGGCACAGGAGAAGCTCTCGCGTGCCTTTCCTTGCCAGTCCAGCACTGACAAGCCAAATTGATCTTTTAAGAGACTAAATGAATGTTCTGCAGATATATGGGCGCATGTGGCTGTTCCAGAGGTTTTCTGGGTTCTGAGTGGTGCTGGTCTGAAATCCTGATGAACTGGCTTCAAGGTGGGGCACCGGGCCGGGGTGCAGTCCATGCACTCTCCATACCCCGTGCTTTTTTTTGGTGGGGGTG